TTTGGCCCTGGCCCTATCGTGGCCAGTGTCGTAGATCTTTAGTCGCAGGTTGATTGGAAAAGGCTGCTGAGATCACCTACTCCAACCACCAACCCACCCCTACTATGCCCACTGGCCATGTCCCTTAGTGTCACATCTCCACAGATCTTGAACATCTCCAGTGCATCCCTGGGCAGACTCTGTCAATGCCTCAGAACAAGTTTGAGAAGAAACGACCCTTAATATCCCACCTGAACCTCCCCTGGCACAACTTAAGGCCATTACCTCATGTCTTAGCACAGTTCCTTGGGAAAAGAGGCCAACCCCCACTTCACTGCAACCTCCTTTGAGGGAGCTGTGGAGAGCAATAAGGCACCAAGCTTAGTTTACTAGATAGAGTCTATGTTGTTGACCAGTGACTGTAAAGAGAGCACTGTCAAAAGTTACAACATCCGTTTACTTTGTTAGCTAGATTTTTGATGCTTAGCCTCTTTTACAGTGGTTGACAAATGATTGGTATTTATGCAGTGTTTACTTAGTAAACTCATAAGATTTGGATACATTAGAACTCTTTTTGAAGTGTTGCACCAAGAGCTACAGAGAAAGTAGAAACTGCAAGACGGTAGTTTGATTTTGCTTTTTTCAGTACACTTTTTTTCAGTGCTTTAATTTTGAAACTGCTTTTTTGAAAACAAAGTTTGGCCTCTGACAGGAGTCTCCACAGCTCATCATAAAGAGGATGAGAAAGTTCATTAGCTGGGCAACAGAGGAAAGGAAGACAGCTCTTTGGGTGACAGGACCTCCCTGCATATCACAGTCTCTTTGAACTTTAGGTTCCACCCTTAGGCAAAATCATAGAGGTATTTCTAGTCAGGTTCAACCTTCAGTTCAGCAAAATAGCGCAGTCATGGTATTGATGCTTCTCAAATTATCTTTTTAAATGTAGACTCTTAATGTTCTCTCTAAACTAAAATACCTCTCTGCAGCTGTAATAACCATTTTCACAGCAGAGCTGCCAAGAAGTTCAAAGTTTCAGTTTAAAGATGGAGACTTCAGTATAGCTTTCCTGCATGAATTTAATATAATGTTTCTGCAGACTTTAACCTTTGCAGCAGGGCTAAGTTTTTGCTTAGCAGCACTCTAAACTTCTTGAAAAGGCACAGACATTAATGGAGCATAGAAATGGCTGAAATGAGCTGGAGAATCAACTGTTGAGTGTTGTTGGACAGTATGTACAGCCAATTTAACAAAGCTTTTCTGATTTGTGTTTACCAATGCTTTAGAATCTGCTTACATCTGCAGTTATTTCAAGTTCTGATTTTAAATTGCTAGATTAAGTGAAATTTGACCTGGAACAGCCTCAGTTTTGCTCATACAGGTCTTCACTTATCCAGCCAAATGACTAAATATGATACATCTTGCAGATGGGTCATTTCTGTTTCATTCAATCTAAGTTTTACCTTTTGACTTATTTCACCTTTTATCTTGTAGTTCTTTCTTCGATTCTTCTCCTGGCTCTCTCCTGCATGTGTAGTTTATTCCCCTACCTCTATATCTTGTTCAGCTACCCAAACATACCTGAAGAATTCTGATTCATGGAGCAGTAAAAATAGCGGGTTTTGGAAATGGCTTCTTCTTTTAATATGCCTTTTCAAACTGAGAAATTACAGATAAAATGAAGGCTTTCAAATATGCCAGTGTTAGAACTGTTTACTAAAGGCTGCACAACGTTTATACTTCCTAACTCTTGTAAGAACATTGATCTGATTTTTTGCTTCTGTTTTTATCTGTGGGTTTGATAGGACTAATTTTATCACTTTCTCCTTCCTTTGATGTGATTGCTGTCCAGGCAACACTCTCTACTTGCCATATTCCAACTCAATTTATTTTCTCCTTTTATTTCCAGTCCTTCCAGGCCAGATTACTTTCCCTTATGATAACCTTACCTAACATTATTATCAGCTTTTTTACTAACTCTTACTCAACACTTTGCAGCTGCCAAAGTAAAACCTCACCAAAATAGGTCATCAAGTATTCATTAATATTTTCTAGAATTATTTTTTTTATTTTTAACTATGATTTCCCTATTTTTGATTCATTATTATGAATTCCTGAAGAAAATAAAGCTTATTTTAAGAGTAAGAGTTCATTATATGCTAGGAAATATGTAGGTGCTCCGAAAGAAATGCCTCCTATTTATTTCCATGGACACCACTACAGATACAAAGAGTGCAATAGCACTGTTTGATGGAGCAAATTCTCAGCCACAAAAACAAACAAACACAACTTTTAATGTAGCCATTGCTACATTAGCTATGCATTTTCATCTGCAATGAACAAGAGCTTTCATGCCATGCTCGTATCAATCTGCAACAGCAGAGGTGACTCACTGATGCTGTCACCACTGCTTCACTGTGCTCACATCCACTGTTTGGGCACCATAAATGTGCAGAAAACTGATGAATGACAATTTTTTTCCACATAGAGGGATTCAATGAGGCACCCTTGCTGCATACACGTCGTCTACCTCTCTGCTGCAATTCTACCAATGTCCACTTCCAGTGTCATGGGGCAACAGAATAAAGCAGGAGGCGTTTATTTTGAAGCAGCGCTCACATATGTATAGCAGTTGGGAATTCTTGGTGTAAGATCAGAAAAAGATCTGTTACGTGGCATTATAAGCTACACTTACACTTTCTGCACTCTGCAATGAGAAGGAATGGCTGCCTTTAACTTTGTGGGGAAAAAAAAAAAGGTCTCATGGGAATACTTTGATGTTCTTTAGGGTGAGGCAAAAAATAAAAAATAAAAAAAAAATAGAGGAGACTTTCAGTTAGCTCTCACCTTTATCCCTGATGGATTCCCTAGGCTATTTCTACCTCCTTTATAGCTTTTCAAATTGCTGGAGTAGTATCAAAGCAAAGGGGACAAAACAGGGAATTGTTCCTGCTGTAACAAGTGCTTGACTGGAATTTAGATACATTTAACGTATTCACCTCTGCTTCCCTCCGACTCCGCTGGTTCTCCTTGAAGAATGATTTGGTTTGTTTGAGGGATTTTTTATTTTTTTTAAATGATGATTCCATCATGTTCTTATTAAGAATTTCTGATTCTCTGAATATTTTATTCCACACTTGCTAGAATAAAACTAAAAGTTTTAACTGATGTATTTGTGTTATTTTCTTAATTTTTTCGTATTTTTATTTTTAAAGCTGGTATGTTATTCATTTTCTTGCCTTTAAGTACCTGATGCTTTCCCACTCTTCTATTAAAAAAAAAAATATTCCAACAGCAGTCTTGTAAATCATTTCCTTTGATATGCTAAAAGTTTTCTTCAGTCTCAGCTGCTCGCATAATTTGATGCTTAGCATCCTCTTGTTTTTATAATTTTTCTTACATTTCGTATCTTTGCTGTTTCATATATGATAAAGGTGCTGTAGCAAAATCTTAATAATTTAGTAATTTTAGCATATTCATTATCATCGTCTTTCTTACCAAAGATGCTTTCCCCATCTATTTTTCCCTGGCTAATTTTGGATGTCATTTTACAGCTCTTAATCCTTGTTTCTTGAAGCTTTCCATGCCTTCCTGATACTGGAATACTGCCTACTCCATGAGTTAATATATTTTCTTGTTTACAAATTCCAGCTGATATTCAATTAAAATTTTCCTGAATCAAATTTAATTCCTTCTGAGTGGTATATGTCAGATATTTTTGACATATCTGGAATTTATACAGTATACTTCATACAACTGTATCTACATCAATGCATATATTCTTCTGTAAAATTAATTGTTAGTGATGTACATGCTAATGCTAATGAGTAGAAGTATTTTTGTGTTTGAAAGCTAAGCTGTGTTCATCATCTTTTCTTTCATTTCATTCTACATATAAAACTCTACCTAGTAAAACTGAAAATGGCTAAGTCCCAAATACCATAGTTTTTCTTCACGTGGTAGTTAGTAGCCTCTCTGACATCATTATGTATTATGTGCTATCATATTAATAGCGGGAGAACTACTGATTTGTTTCATGTCTGAAAATACCACTAATAGATTCTGCTGTACATATTTCGCACTGTCTGAAAGGAAAATGCTTGCTGTTTTCTTTCCTGATTTAATCAAGCAATCCCGAAGAGTTCTGTTCTTTTCTAAAGGGAATAATATTCATAAGAAGATCAAGGTCTGAATGTTGTTCCAGACTGAATCTGGTAGAAACAATCCCATTTAATGTAAGATTGACAACTGCTTCTCAACTATCCTTAAAATAACGTATTAACAAAAATGAATGGCTTTCTTAGTCCTTTATTTTCCTGTCTGATGAATTCTAATCTTACAACATGGATGTGCTGATCCCTCTGAGACTGTGTATATTTTCCAAGACCACTTCTCATGGAAGCAGCAGGGTCCCACTTCAGGAATGTCACTGTTTTATTTTAGCTCTAAGCTCTTTAGAGGAAAGATTTAGTTCAACAGTTAGTTGTTAGTTCAAAAGTTTAGACCGTCGTGAGACAGGTTAGTTTTACCCTACTGATGATGTGTTGTTGCGCTAGTAATTCTGCTTTTTAGAGACTAAAGTGGACTTTGAACAACAAATATTGTGGTCTATCATACACAAGAGACTGAACAAGATGTTTATGATGGTTCGTCTATTTTTAAAATCTTTAAAGGTCTTCAAACCTACAGAATTCATTTAAATGCATATTATGACTTAGGAAATGCTTGAGGTTCCAAGTGAACTTTGATATGTGTGCCATGCATAAAGTCATTATATGAGTTTATATACTGCAATAAAAGTAAATATAACAGTGAGTATATTAATGGCTCATTCATTAACATGGTTCATGTGCTTTTAGCATGACTAAAGGCTTGTAAATCGAAATTCTCTGTTGTACTGATTGCAGCAGAAGAAGCCATTATCTGTCAGGTAACATCAGGAGAAAATCATGTAATGGAATAATAGAATAGCTTGGGTTAGAATGGATCTTAAAAATAATGTAGTTCCAACTCCTGTGCTTCAGGCAGGGTTACCAGCCACTAAATCAAGAGCAGATCAGGCTGCCCAGGACCCCATCCAATCTGGCCTTGAACTCCTCCAAAGATGGAATGCCTACAGCTCTCTGGGCAGCAATGCTAAGGCCTCACTGTTCTCTGAGTAAGTAATTTCTTCCTAACATTTAACCTAAATCTCATTTATTTTAAAACCATTCTCCCTTGTCTTATCACTTATCAGGTATTCGTGCACTTAGTTCATGGTATACTGGTCATGAGACCAGAATTACACGTTTTTTGTGCACCCTACTTCACTGAAGAATGCGTAATCATACAGCAAGTTGCAAGTATATTCTCAATATTTTCAATAGTGGCTATTGTTCTAAGGTGATTTGGAAAAATGGGTTCTAAAGCTCTTCAACAAGGATTTCAAAATTCTCTAAGCCTGGTCATGAAATAATCATATGTTTGCATTACTTCTTGGTTTTCTCATATTCTGCTCAAACTGTTTAAATAGTTTAAAACACATTAAGTCTCTCTGATACAAGCATATAACAATTCAGATAAGTGAAATACTGATTTCTAATTAGTATTTAAATAGAAATTGGTTGTAGATTGATTTTCTTTTAAAAAGACATTGTTGCTACTTCTAGTTAGAACTCCTTGCATACGAAAGCAATGAGATGAAATTGTATGCATTGTATGCAACGTGCTTATTTATATTGTGAGTAGTCTGCTGTGATGTGTATTTTTGATCAGGTAAATGGTGGTCTTGCATAGTTAAACACATGCGTTTAAAACTTGAGAGGAAAATTATTAGCAGTAAATGAGTAGTAAATACCTGCACTTAAGTAAACTGAGCTATTCGCTATTCATTTGATCATGGGGACTTAACTCCACTAAATTAGGTATTAAAGCAATAGCAGTAGCATTTCAGCATGGTGATTAGCTTGTACCAAGGAAGCAACCACAATAACTATTATGACAGTGTTATTTTTCTACTCTGAATGTGCACTAAACTTAAAATTAACTGCTGATAAAAACTTACGCATTTTTTTTTGTCACAGTATCTACAATAAGAGGGAGAACAGAGTACTGTTTGACTTCATTACACTTGTTTTTAGCATGCTTCAAATATTTATGTGCAAGGCACTCTACCAAGATAGATATTGTTTCCTCAAAATAATTCCCAAATATAGTTTTTTTTTTTTTTTTTTTTTTTTTTTAACTTATTTAATATCAGAGATGCAAATCTGTAAGAAAATAGGATGAAATCTTCATTGTGGTAAATGGATACTCAAGGTCTGAAGTTTTTCCTTATGAGCTCTGGTCAATGGTTATTACTTTGCATTTGCCAACTCTGAGATAGTGTTTCTTTAGGAAAAGCTAGAAAAATACTTTTTTTAATATGTTTTTGTTGAAAGGCATTCTGAAAAGCTCTTTTAAAAACATGTAGAAAAGGTAAGAGTGACCTTTGGATAGATTTACTTTATTTAGTTCTACGCAAAATGCATTTAGTCTTCTAGATTGTGGATTTGACTCAGAGGTGAGCTTCAGATGTAAGGATGCTGTAGGAAGGGCAGCTGTGGGGACAGTCAGGATCAAGGAGAGGTACAAAACCTTCAGCAGCTTGTAGCTGAGGTCTTGTGCCTCTGTCTCTTCAAGCCCAAACATCGTGCTGGTTCTCAGCTCTTCCCACTCCACACTGTGCTTCTGGTGTGAAGAGAACATTGGCCACGGATGGCAAGAGATATATTAACATTGGTTATTGACTTGGAAGAGTGATCCAGCAAATCTGCTGGCATTCTCTTACGCCCTCATCCACATCTAGAATCTTTCTGTGAAACATAAAGTGAAGTAGGAAAACACTGCTGGAGTATGGTCTTCTGATCTTCTATGGGCTGGAGAAAAATGGGTAGAAATTATGCTGGAGCAAACACATACTTCCCCTTTCTTCCTGTGAATCCATCTTGTAGCCTGTGCTCCTGTGGTGCTGCTTTTAAATACCAATATAATAAAACAAAATATTCCAAGCTCAGATTTCACAAAGTATGTTTAGAAGAATGCAATCTCCATTGTGATGTCTGGCAAGCTAAATTGGATTTGTGAAGCTTGTTTATTTTCTGAAGAATAGTTGAAAAAACTTCAAAAATGCTTTGTGATGGAAATATTTATTGTTAGCGATGATATCAGTATTTAAAGTCATTTCTTAGACCACATTCACCAAAACCTGGAAACATCACCAAATAATTCTATTTATTATTCAACTATCAAGTGTGATTAAAAAAAGTTCAGGTCTAATTTCTAACTATGGATGGTGGAAAAATCCTTAATTTTTAATTCACTCCCCACTCAATTTTTTAACTAACTATATTTTTGACTAATGCAGAATCAAAAAAGCACTCCTATTTAATTCATCCTACAGCTTGTAGCGTGCACTACCTGTAATCTAAAGGCTGTTGCACACAGTACAGCTAAAATTCAGTTTTCAAAGTCTCCGTTCCTTTAGAGATATTAACTTGCCCTTGTCAATTTTCCATTAAAGAAATGTCTGTGCCTCAGAATGATTTGTGTTTGACTCGTATCAGGAAATTGTCATGAGTTATATGAAGAGACTTTTAACTCAGTGTGTGTTTTTAAATGTTATACCTAAACATCAGTCACGTTAACAATATTTCTTTTCTGTTTTATACTGTTTAGTTATGTTTCTGTTTCATATTTATAAAATCTGGTCTATTGTTGGTATCCCTTTTAGCCCTTATGCAGCATGTGAATCAAATTTTAATAATTAACTGCATTTTGAAATATGTTGGAACTTTATATTTAAAAACACAACAGATACTAAATTGTTCTTTTACAGTCTCGTGCCATTAACATTAGGGTTGTAGTTAAGCTGAAACATCGGTGGCTGCTTCTGGCAGTATCTAGCAGTGTCCACTGCTGTCATAACAAAATAATTCCCTGTGGACTTATTTAAATCAGTGACAGCTGCGTGAATTAATTTTGTGCTACTGTCTGGATAGATGAAATGTCATTTCACTTTGCAGGAAGTCTGTTGTAGAACAGTGAAGGTTAGAATTAATCTGTACCAATATATATGGTTTTTATTCTTGATATACCTGATCTGTGATTTACCCTCTAAAATCTGAAAGATCTGAAAGAAGTAGGAGCTGTCATGGAGAGATGTGCAGGTACTGGTGAAACCTGTCAAGTAATGTTTCTGTCCTGTCAGGGAGGCCAACATTCTGAGGAGCTGTGCATTGAGGCAGCTTTGTGGTGAGAAGCATAATAAAGCAAAGTCAGGAGTATACTGATACTAAATTTGTTCTTTTGCAAGTAAGTTGCTGACTCTCAGGTGCTTTAGATCCGATCATAAAGGACTGAGGGTGCGTGCACCAGCACAGGGCCTGCTCCCTTGGATGCCCTGCATGCCTGGGGAGGTCAGCCTGAAAGCAGCATAGCCTATGATGAGAGAACCTACAGTGCTTCCAGCAGTGGCAGGAGACCCAGACCAGTTCACGTTTGAGTGGAAATAACTCTAGAAAGTCTGTTGTTCAAGCCAGGTTTTTGTGTTTGATGAGAACTTGTCACTGGTAGTACAAAACTTGGATGTAAAGAACGAAAGGCACTGTTGCTCTTGCCTGTTTGGTTTGTATCAGGTAAGGAGAGCAGACTGCCCGAGCCAAACCAAGTATTCATTTCATATCAGCCAGCTAGTATCTAAAGAAATTAAAAAGCAAAAATTCCATAATTCTCCACTTCTTTTTCTATGGCACTGCTAACCTGTTCTCTGTGTTCTGTATAATTTCATCTTAATAAAAGGAACTTTAGGAAAAAAAGAGAGATCAGATAGTAAGAAACTTTTGTTAAACTGTGACTTACAGGAATGGAAATTGTGTTGTGAATTCAGTTCTATAAGCAAGGAATCCATCTATTCTTTGCTTATGAAAAGATAATTGCATTACTAATGCACTGATATCGTAATAATATAGCTACCTCTTTCATACAGCAGCTTCATTAATAGATCACAAATCAGTTTATAAAGGAAGTAAATATAATTACCCTAATTTAATGCCACAAAGTCTGTGAAGAGACTCAGAAGCTTAATGAAGGAAGTATTGTGCTGCAGTTGCACATAATTACAATAAAACTAATGTTATTATCAACCATGTATTCATAAACCGTCATAGTAATTGACAGATCCAATAATCTTATTATTATGTATGGAAAACAGAATTTCAGTTTAAATTTCTTGATTCATACTTTGATTCTGTTTTTAAACCTATTTTCACATAATAATATTTAATTTATTTGTTTTGCTTGATACCAATAGGACAAGGGGGAATGGTTTTAAACTAAGACAGGGGAGGTTTAGGTTAGATACTAGGAGGACGTATTTCACACAGGGGGTGGTGACACACTGGAACAGGTTCCCCAAGGAGGTTGTGGATGCCTCATCCCTGGAGGCATTCAAGGCCAGGCTGGATGTGATGCTGGACAGCCTGGTCTGGTGGTTGGTGGTAAGGGGATTGAAACTGGATGATCTTTGAGGTCCTTTTCAACACAAGCCATTCTATAATTCTATGATATGATAATTGTTTCAGCTGTATTCTGTATTCCCAAAGATGGCAGTGAAGATTCTTCAAAGGTATCTTTCTGAAACTAGGGGTATCTACAGGAGAAGTAGATGTTAAAAAGAAGACAAGTAGAACAGAATATATGATTTCTACAAATTCTAATATATGAAAATACTGATGTTTTACTTTCTTATTTTTGGTTTTTTTTTTGGTTGAGAGATGTAAATCCCACTGTGTATGTAGCCATATGATTTGTAGCCTCTGTACAGTGCCCTGCATCCTGTTCAGAGAGGAACATGTATTGCATTAAAAGGCAGGAAAGCCACAGAACTTGAGCCCACAAGAAAGGATAAGGTCCCAAGCTACAATTTATGTGAAATGTTAAGATAATAGAAGTACAATATTTTGGATAATTTCAAAAATTAAAGTATTCTATTTCAGTTTTGGCCACACCAAAAATAACAATATTTTTTAACTGTATACTTTTCCTAGCCCTTTTGTTTTCCCCTTTTTTATCATGACTTTATTTTGCTTCTATAGAAAGTTCAGGTTGATAAGACACTGACTTCGCCAGTGCCCTCCTCAG